TTTCCACCAAAATTAATTGTGACACACAACGAGTCTGTGTGGAAAATGTCAGCTCGATTGGATCACGGGAAGTGGGTTAAAAAACGACCGACAGATTTGCACGGTCGTAAGCAAGCAAGCACGCAAGCAAGCAAGCGGACTTAAAATAAAGGATTTAAAAAAAAGCAAATCGGCATACTAACATATGCCGTTTTTGGCCAATATTGGCCAAATTTTTACAGCTTTCTTTTTCAACAAAAGTGCAATCCTCGGGGTTGTTTAGCCTTACATATCCGATATATTACGTTAAAAAGTTGGAAATTTCACCATGAAATTTTCAAGTAAAAAAAGAAAATCGGCATACTAATCTAGGCCGTTTTTGGCCAATAGTGGCCAAACTTTCACAGCTTTTTTTGGACAATAGTTCATTCCTCTATTGTATTTAGCCTGATTATGCTATGTATTAGATTAAAAGGGGAAAATTTCACGATGAAATGTTTACGTCCCACAAAAAGAAAATCGGCATACTAACCTATGCCGTTTTTGGACAATATTGGCCAAATTTTTACAGCTTTCTTTTTCAACAAAAGTTAATTCCTCCCTTTTGTTTAGCATTAGTATGCTATATATTGCATTAAAATTAGGATATTTCACCATGAACATTTCATGTAAAAAAGAAGCAAATCGGCATACTATGCTGTTTTTGGCCACATTTGGCCAAATTTTTACAGCTTTATTTTTGGAAAAAAGTTAATTCATCCATTGTATGTACCATTAGTATGCTATGTATTAGATTAAAAGTGGAAAATTTTGCGATTAAATGTTCACGTCCCAAAAAAAAACCCGACAAACTAACCTCTGCTGTTCATGGCCAAAATGAGCCAAATTCCCATAGCTTTATTTTACAACAACAAGTGCATTCCTCCATTGTGTTTGCTGTAGTATTCTACATATTACGTACAAAATTAAAAATTTCACGATACATTTTTCAACTCACAGAAAATCGGCACACCTTTTTTAGCCAAAAAGCAAATTGGCATACTAATCTATGCCGCTTTTGAACAAAATTGTGTTTGGGTTTGGGTGAAGGTTAGGGGTTAAGGTAAGAGGTTAGAGGAAGAGGTTAGGGGTTAGGGCAAGGGGTTTGGGGTTAGGGGTTAGGGTGAATGTTAGGGGTTGGGGGTAGGGGTTAGGGTTTAGGATTAGGGTCATTTAGGGTTAGGGGTTAGGGTTAACGTTAGAGTTTAGGGTTAGGGGTTAGGGTTAGAGGTTAGGGCTAGGAGATGAGGTTCAGGGTTTAGGGTTAGGGGTTAGGGGTTAGGGTTAGGGGATGAGGTTCAGGGTTTAGGGTTAGGGTTTACGGTTAGGGGTTATGGTTATGGGTTAGGGTTAGGGGATGTACGGTATATACGGTGTGAAAGAAGTTCAACATACACACGAACATGGACACTAGCTAAATAACCTAACCATCATGGACACTCGCTAAATAACCTAACCATCATGGATACTCGCCAAATAACCTAACCAACATGGACACTCGCCAAATAACCTAACCAACATGGACACTCGCTAAATAACCTAACCATCATGGACACTCGCCAAATAACCTAATCATCATGGACACTCGCTAAATAACCTAACCATCATGGACACTCGCCAAATAACCTAACCAACATGGACACTCGCCAAATAACCTAACCAACATGGACACTCGCTAAATAACCTAACCAACATGGACACTCGCTAAATGACCTAACCATCATGGACACTCTCTAAATAACCTAACCAACATGGGCACTCGCTAAATGACCTAACCATCATGGACACTCTTTAAATAACCTAATCATCATGGACACTCGCTAAATAACCTAACCATCATGGACACTCGCTAAATAACCTAACCATCATGGACACTCGCCAAATAACCTAACCATCATGGACACTCGCCAAATAACCTAACCAACATGGACACTCGCCAAATAACCTAACCAACATGGACACTCGCTAAATAACCTAACCAACATGGACACTCGCTAAATGACCTAACCATCATGGACACTCTCTAAATAACCTAACCAACATGGGCACTCGCTAAATGACCTAACCATCATGGACACTCTCTAAATAACCTAATCATCATGGACACTCGCTAAATAACCTAACCATCATGGACACTCGCTAAATAACCTAACCATCATGGACACTCGACAAATAACCTAACCAACATGGACACTCGCCAAAAAACCTAACAAACATGGACACTCCCTAAATAACCTAACCAACATGGACACTCGCTAAATAACCTAACCAACATGGACACTCGCCAAATAACCTAACCATCATGGACACTCGCTAAATAACCTAACCATCATGGACACTCGCTAAATGACCTAACCATCATGATTTAAAGATTTCGTAACTGCAGGGATTCATCTTCTTGGTTCTTTCGGTAAAGTCACGTAGAAGGGAAATCATAAAATAATAAAAACAAAACATAATAAAATACAATTCTCACGACGTTTCGGCCACGACGCAAACAGCCGTCCTCAGGTGAAGAACAGGTTTGTCGGAAAGACAGCGTCTGAATGAGCACCACCATGCTTGGCAGCGTATATTTAAGCTGGGTTGGAGGGGGAAGGGCGCCTTGACAAATAAATTTGCATATCAAGAGGAATTTAGCATATTTATTGGAAATGCAGATATGTGATTAGTCACTACTTGTGGAATGCGTAGGAGGTGGGGGGGGGGGGGGGGTTCAAAGTCATATTATGCCCGTGCAGTATGCAGGATTAGCAGCAACAAAGGGAGGGAGTAGGGGTAGCATTAATAAAGGGAAGGAATGTTAATAGTATGGAGTTGCAGCAGCTAAACCACCACGTAAAAAAAACTAAAATATAAACTACATCAGTATCATCAATATACTAAATATACTCTCCAATAAGCTGAGCTACTAACAGTAAGTAATACATTACAATTGTATGTCGCAAAAAATATAATATGCCTCCAGCTAAACGTTTTTCTCTTACATCACACGGGTCTACCCCGTACTATATACTGCCATAGACAAACCCAACATTAAATTATATACTGTATTACTATACACCACCATATACCTTAGACTATACATTGTAATATTACACTATGTATTATTCTACCTACCCTACTGTATACCACACTGCTGTATATTCACTATACAATTACGATACTATATATTACTTTATACATTGTATAAAACATTACACTTTTATACTATTTATTATTATACAATCTGCTATACACTATACCATTGACCGTCGCGTGAAAGGTACTAAGAGGAAGCAACGAAATATGTCAATGGGAGGACATCCTCCACGGAGCTCAATAACAAAATACAAACGTGGACGTCAACATTTCTGATGTTATCTTCAAACAGGCCCTCATCCTCCTTCACGACAAACTGCACTCCATTGCTGGAAAATACTTCACGTCTATGGGACTACCAACACCCTACAGGGACAACCTGCATGCCCTTGCTCAAGAGATCCTACGTGAAATATGATATTATGCTTTACAGCTTCTTACATTTATTTAGGAAAATTAACCAAAGCTGATGGATGCACAAATAGAAGCATACACGGAAATCTTGGAAGACATTGAGACTACAAATCGAGTCATTTGTATCCTTGATGCACCTGCCAGTACTGGGAAGACCTTTGTTTTAAAACTGCTCCTCGCAAATGCTCGCCAGAGAGAGAGAATTGCTCTCGCTGTGGCATCATCGGGGATTGTTGTGTAAGTCGATGTGTGAGTCGATGTGTGTCAGTCGCTGTGTGTGTGTGTGTCCAAGTGTGTGCATGGCTTCATGTGAGTGTGTAAGTCACTGTGTGTGTGTGTCTATGTGTGTCAGTTGATGTGTGTATGTACGTCGATGTGTATGTGTGTTAGTCCATGTGTGTGTTAGTCCATGTTTGTGTAAGCCAATGTGTTTGTGTGAGTCGATATGTGTAACTCCATATGTGTGTATCTAAAGTCCATGTCTGTGTGAGTCCGTATGTGTGTGTAGGCCAATGTGTGTGTGTCTATGTGTAGAGGAGTAATATGGGGATGTGACGTCATGCTCGCTGTCCAGTACGATGACGTCATGGGAGGTGACGTTATGCTTGCTGGGCGAGGCGATGACGTCATGTCTCCTCTAGGTACTTAAGGGGGACCCCGTGACGAAAGTAGGGTCACTTTGGGAGCCCGGGATAGAGAGCGGTTGAAGAGCCAGCCAGGGGTAAAGCTCAGGGAGTCTGGAGACAAGCCGGCCGTAGTGATAGAAGGTGCTGCTCTCCCTGGTCGGTGTTGGCTGAACCCCCGATCCGACTCGAGGGAGAGAGCCCTGGAGCTAGCCGAGCTAGGAACAGACAGAGTGAAGGTTCGTGTGAAGAAACCTAGTGAAGGACCCCTACCCCTGGGGAAGTTATCCGAAACGCTTAATAAATAACTGGCGCAAGCCCTGAACTGAAGACCTGCCTCCGCATCGTCATTTGCACCTCAACATTTGTATGCGAGTCCATGTGTGTGTGTAAATCGATGTGTGTGTTCGAGTCGCTGTAGGTGTCTACGTCGATTTGTGTAACTCCATGTGTGTGTATCTAAAGCGAATGTCTGTGTGTGTGAGTCGATGTGTTTGTGTGTGTGGGTCGATGTTTGTGGGTCTAAGTCCATGTGTGTGTCTTTCGTCTGGGCAACGCCAGGTACTTCCCACTAGTACTCTTATACAAGCGCACTTCATCTATCTGTGATGAACGCTGCACTTTCCATCGTTTTCATGCAGGGGGCGCTGTAAACCTACGCGCCCCCTGCATGAACGACGGAGGCACAGAGACAGACGGTCGATCACGTTGGAATTGATCTGCAGACGGCAGTCTTCTGGCACGGCCAGCTCTGTGTCGCCTCATCTCAATCCCGCGATCCCAACCAGGTGAAAGTCCGCATCAAACCGAATCCCCGGCAAGGCCATCTACTTAACGACTAGAGAAAATTCACACGAAATGTCGTTTTCAATGAAGTCTTCCAGATGTAAAATGATATAAGCTTTTATTGAAGAAACACAATTTAAAACATAATACAATTCAAAGTTGTTTCAATTTAAAACTTCAAAACGGAGCATTGGGTGCTTGCGTGGATGCGTCTTTCGTGTGCAATTTTCTTCGTGACTTTCCTGGCCCAAGGCAGTAAATGGTTGTGAGGGGCACCGCAGGCGGTCAGGCTTGCTTCAACCCCATGGTTGTCAAAATCCAGACGTTAATTGGCAAGGACCATTTCTTGTCCTAGTTCGCCAACATATACGACGTCATGCAAAATTCTAATGAGTGTTGTTGTGCAGAATGTATCTATTAGATGCACTCAGCCTTGTAACCAAATACAAATCTGTACCAAAAATGCATTCCAAATGTGCTCTTAAAATTACCTCCTTGCTATGAAGCAGATCAGCAGACACGACATCTTTCATTTATCGATCTCTCCACGAAACAAAGGAATGTTTTACATAAACTATAACAAGCACAGACTTCTGGGAGTGCGTCAATGATTCAGTGCAAGCCACCTGTGGACCCTTATTGGTGCACAGCGTCTCAAGAGCAGCCGGGCTTGCTTCAACCGATAGCTTCAAACATCCAGACGTTAATCAGTAAGGAGCATTTCTAGCCCTAGTTAGACAAAATTTGTGTCAACACGTAATACCAAATTATAATTCAAGTTGTAGAGAATGTATCTCCTCTAGGTGTAACTTTTAAGTGGTCGCCTTGTAACTGATGAATGATCCGAGTGTGCTCGCTATTTCAAAGACAATGAGTTGCTCCAGAGGGAGATGCTTCCTGAAAACACAAAAGTACCCTTTGACCTGTATCACAAGAACAATGAGTCTCACCTGAGTGATCTGTACAGGTTACTTCCAAAACACACACTGTGTCCTAACATGACTTATTCGATGATTGACCCTTATAGACAAAATGGTACATGTACGCACACAATCAGACAAGTATTCATTCAAAATTAGTGACAGGCATATTAACAAAATTGAAAGACTGCACTGAAATATACTGCATTAGGTTACATCGCATTAACAAGAAGCTAATTAAAAAAAATACGCACCGTCTGCTTAACAGTGTATGTACAACATACTAATGCACCATTCAAAACGAGTCGGCCATTGCATGCTGGCATCTGGATCAAAATTGAGCAAATTCTAAACATTACCTACAAACTCCACAACTGAGATGCCACATCAACCATCGCCCCCTACTGACAGGCTCTTGTCCACATGCAGGCCGGTGCAGGGCCACCACCTTGTGCCACACAGGGGCAGCTGCTACTTGGGGATGCTCTTCGAGTGTTTGAGACGAGATACGATACAAAACTCAGAGTTGCCAGAGGCGATTAAGCAAGCACCATATAAATGCAATTATGATAACATAGTGAATGCTTGGGAGCTTATTGGCTCTCGCTCCTAGTTAGAGATCTACCCAACACACAGGTCCACAAAGACTGGCCGCTCTTACCCTGCAGGTTGAACCTAGGAACCGAGTGTTTAACTTCACATTATTGTCATTAAAGGCCTGTGACAAAGGTGCATCTATTGGAGCAACATCGTTTCAGGCTTACACATCTACCGGGTCTCCATTTGACTTTGTATTGTCTCGGAGGAAGTCCACCCACACCTCCACTTCCACAAACTGCTGGGAGTTGCTTCGCTCTGCCTCACATTCAGAATTCTCCTCCTGCTTCACGTTGCCTCCATCGATGTGAAGGTCCGATTTTTGAGTTGAATCTTCATCTTCACATTTTACCTTCACTTCTTCGCTCTTCACCATGACTTCTTCACATTTCACCTTCACCTCTTCATATTTCACCTCGATACCTTTAAAAGTTTGCAAGCTGGGATTTTCTTCCGGTTCTTGTTTCATGAGAGATGGGCTCATTGAGGCACTTTGACTTTCACAAGCTGATATCAGACTCCGCTCCTTGTGGATATTATGATGCTTGTGTGTTCTCTGGTGTTTTTTAAGAGTCGATGAACTTGCAAACGCCTTCCCACACACACTGCACTTGCAGGGTTTCTCTCCCGTGTGTGTTCTCTGGTGTGGTACAAGAGCAGATGACTGTGCAAACGCCTTCCCACACACACTGCACTTGAAGGGTTTCTCTCCCGTGTGTGTTCTCTGGTGTGCTACAAGAGCAGATGACATTGCAAACGCCTTCCCACACACACTGCACTTGAAGGGTTTCTCTCCAGAGTGTGTTCTCTGGTGTGCTACAAGAGCAGATAACTGTGCAAACGCCTTCACACACACACTGCGTTTGAAGGGTTTTTCTCCCGTGTGTGTTCTCTTGTGTGTTGCAAGAGTAGATGAAAGTGCAAACGCCTTCCCACACACACTGCACTTGAAGGGTTTCTCTCCCGTGTGTGTTCTCTGGTGTTTTGCACGATGAGATGAATCTAAAAACGCCTTCCCACACACACTGCACTTGAAGGGTTTTTCTCCCGTGTGTGTTCTCTGGTGTTTTACAAGAGTAGATGAATGTGAAAATGCCTTCCCACACACACTGCACTTGAAGGGTTTTTCTCCCGTGTGTGTTCTCTGGTGTTTTACAAGAGTAGATGAAAGTGCAAACGCCTTCCCACACACACTGCACTTGAAGGGTTTCTCTCCCGTGTGTGTTCTCTGGTGTGTTACAAGAGTATATAATTGTGCAAACGCCTTCCCACACAAACTGCACTTGAAGGGTTTTTCTCCCGTGTGTGTTCTCTGGTGTTTTACAAGAGTAGATGACTTTGTAAACGCCTTCCCACACACACTGCACTTGAATGGTTTCTCTCCCGTGTGTGTTCTCTGGTGTTCTACAAGAACATATGACTGTGCAAACGCCTTCCCACACACACTGCACTTGAAGGGTTTCTCTCCCGTGTGTGTTCTCTGGTGTTTTACAAGATGAGCTGAATCTGAAAACGCCTTCCCACACACACTGCACTTGCAGGGTTTCTCTCCCGTGTGTGTTCTCTGGTGTTCTACAAGAGTAGATGACTTTGCAAACGCCTTCCCACACACACTGCACTTGAAGGGTTTCTCTCCCGTGTGTGTTCTCTGGTGTACTACAAGAGCAGATGACTTTGCAAACGCCTTCCCACATACACTGCACTTGAAGGGTTTCTCTCCCGTGTGTGTTCTCTGGTGTGTTACAAGAGTAGATGAATCTGAAAACGCCTTCCCACACACACTGCACTTGCAGGGTTTCTCTCCCGTGTGTGTTCTCTGGTGTGTTACAAGAGTAGATGACCGTGCAAACGCCCTCCCACACACACTGCACTTGAAGGGTTTCTCTCCCGTGTGTGTTCTCTGGTGCCGTGTCAAATGTTCAGGACAATTCGTGCTGTATGAACACCGGTCGCATTGTTGCCTTGTCGCACTGAGCTGCGCCGAGTGCCTTTGCTCCATCAGACCAATTCTGCAGAGGAAAGTACAGAGGAAGCGTCAGTTGCAGACAGAAAAAAAAATATCTACACGTCAGTATCGATGCACAGAGGAATGCATATACACAGTCACACGTGACTTACACGTCAATACTTATTTATATATTCATGATATAGTGAAAAAGCTTCCCAAATTCATCACGCGGGCTGTTATGGCACACAATGAGAGGGCAAATGGTCACAAATTTCGGCTGTCTGGCTGCAAAAGGAATATTTATGAAAGCTAAATTCAGTTGACATAGCAAAAGGTGTTGAAAATAATACTATTTGTGTTGTGCAGAAATTCATAAATTCATGCTCAATCGCAACTTAGATGTGTGTTGTATATATAGACCTTTTCCAAAAATATATATTGAGAATAATTCGACCCATTTTTTTCCTTAAATAATTAATAAATGAAACCAACACTCAACTCCGCTACCCCTCAAACCACACCAAGCATCTGGAGGTCATTAAACAACAAACTTCGGGGCAAAGAGGGGTTCGCGACTATCTGGAAATCTCCAGGCTGGCAGATGACCATATGACATGACCTCCCCGGACGTTTTGGACAGTTCACAAACAAATCTCCAGAGCACATAGCAGAGACAAACGGACGTTACAACTCGCATTTTCTTTAACGGCAAAAGTTTGAAACTCGTCAAAAAGAACAAATCGACGTTATAGACTGCAGTCTATATGAGCGGCTTTATACTGGTAGGAACGAAGTGGACCAGACACCAATAGATTATATCGTCCGTCCATTTGTCCGTCCGTCCGTCCGTGTAGCAACATCGCCCCCTACTGCAAACACTTGGCATGACCCTACAAAAACCTTGAGACTCAGTGACGCTATCCTGGCTAAACAAGTGTAACATTCCCTTATAATTCCCTCAGATAGCTTTTAATTAAAACATTTAAATTAATGAGGCTTTCCTGGCTAAACACGTGTAACATTCCTTATAATTCCCTGAGATAGCTTTTAATTAAAACTTTGAAATTAAATTAAAAAACTCACAGCGCCCTAAAGCCTACAGCTAGGCCTAAAGCCTAGAACTAGGCCTGAAACTCTCCCTTCGTATCGTACCCCCGCGTGTGTGAAAGGGAGTTAATGTTTCACAATGTTACATTCCCTGATTTTTTAAAATAGAAACATTTAAATTTCAAGCTTTTACATTAATAATTAAAACATTTAAATTAAATATTAACTCACAGCGACCTAAAGCCTACAGCTAGGCCTAAAGCCTAGAAATAGGCCTCAAAGTCTCCCTTCGTATCGTCCGATTAGGTGTAGCAACATCGCCCCCTACTGCAAACACTTGGCAGGACCCTACAAAAACCTACAGTGGGGCTTTCCTGGCTAAACAAGTGTAATAATACATTATGTTTATATTCTTTGATATTCGTTCCTACCAGCCCACCCCGCAGGGTCCTGTTTATTATTTATTTTATTTCACCCTTATTCAACTCGTATATCATTTTGTATTGTATCTTTCTATCCATGTAACTTCACCAAGAGAACCAAGGAATGTGCATTCTGGTAGACAAGAAAGTGAGCGCTTGGTTATATCTCCAGCCTCGGGATATCAAAATATAACTCAAAATAAAACACCGATCCCTGGTGACACAGACTTACAACAAAGCTTGGCAAAACCCTCGGAATAATGGTAACAACGAGGGGCATTACGAATCTTGGTTCTTGGTTAAACATGAACCAAATAATAACCACGAGATATTAGACCCGGGGTAACTCATAAGAGGTACAAGAAATAGGTCCAACACACACAAGACCGGATAATATGTATTCCATGGAATCAAAGCCTCCCCGGCCACCTTTGTCTTCCAACAATTTGACACAAACACATGGCAGCCACAATTACGTATGAAGGGTGTCTGGCCTTGAGCTAACAAACACAACGAAGGGGGGGGGGATGCCAACAAGCATAAACTTAGACGGAAAACAGCCCATCCGGGGTCATCAAGGGAAGGGGGGGGGCATTCAGGCGCGGCCGCGGAGAGAGGACGGTGACAGAGGGCATCTGTTTTTTTTCTCTCGCAAGAGACGCACAGAGAGGGGAGGGAATTTCAGATATAACCAACGACACAGATCATGCAATTCAGTCTTGCAAAGGGGCAAACTCCGGGGCATGGCCTCGAGATCAACCATGGGTGTCGTGTCTCGTGGAGCGAAGGGACGATGTGTTGTTAAGAGCTGAGTTCGGTATGAACTGACAGAGTATCGCTGAAAGTTTATTCTACATTCATCCTGATGTTTTGAGTCGCTTGTGGAATCGAGGGTTTGCGATAAGTTGTATTGTACCAAGCTATCAGAGTTGCGTAAGAGGTGTGCTAATACAATTTACAAGTTTTGAGAGTAAGTGATCCAGCCAGCGACGAGCAGCTCACAGCAGCAGCCCTCTTAGAAGAAGGGTGGAGAGCACGAAAGTTGAGCAACGACAAGGCGAAGCCCCGAAGTGAGGGCGGGAGAGGTAACACAATGCCAGTGCAAAACTGGCAGCTGCACGCCAAGGGCGAAAGCAAGGAGAGAGAAAGGAGAGAGCACGGAGTAGTGGAAAGAGCCTGAGCCAGTGCAAGCCCTGAAGTAAGGGCAGGTGTCCGTGTGAAGCTGGCAGCTGCACGATCAAGGAGAGAGCACGGAGCAGTGGAAAGAGCCTGACCAGCCGCCCATGAGCAAGAGTGTCAGCGCCAGCGAGAGCGCCGTGGGTTCGACCCACACACACACCGACCAGCACCAGCTAGGAACCAATGCCAGAGTGAGGAGCGGCGACCAGCAGACAAGCTGCGCGCGCTATCTGATGACGGAATCATCGCACACCGCCTACGGCGAGCATCACGCCAACTCAACCAGCAGTGAAGAGAGCTGCAACGCCAAGAGGAAGAGTGCCGTGTGTTTAATACACACACACACGTACACACAGCTATACACACGTACACACAGCTACACGTACACACAGCTACACACACACGTACACACAGCTACACACACACGTACACACAGCTACACACACACGTACACACAGCTACACACACACGTACACACAGCTACACACACACGTACACACAGCCACACACACACACGTACACACAGCTACACACACAGCTACACACACACGTACACACAGCTACACACACACACAGCTACACACGTACACACAGCTACACGAACACACACGTACACACAGCTACACACACACACACGTACACACAGCTACACACACACACACGTACACACAGCTACACACACACACGTACACACAGCTACACACACACACACACGTACACACAGCTACACACACACACACACGTACACACAGCTACACACACACACACGTACACACAGCTACACACACACACACGTACACACAGCTACACACACACACACGTACACACAGCTACACACACACACACGTACACACAGCTACACACACACACACGTACACACAGCTACACACACACACACACACGTACACACAGCTACACACACACACACGTACACACAGCTACACACACACGTACACACAGCTACACACAGCTACACACACACACGTACACACAGCTACACACACACACGTACACACAGCTACACACACACACGTACACTCAGCTACAAAGATCCCCGTATAGCCTTAACAGACTGTAGGGTCAAGTGCTGTTAGCGAGCACCTATGAAGGCCGGAACGGCACACGAGGGGGTGGGTGGCCAGCCCCACGCCCGACCGCCTTTGTCTCCCCAGTGGCGACGTTTACACACCGCACCAGGTACTCATTTAAGGCTGAGTCGACCTAGGGGAGGCCCAGGACCGGTTCAGATAATCGTCACTGGTGTTGGCCGTGAGCGGGAATCGAACCCGGGTCGCCAGGTTCATAGCGCAGCGCGCTAACAGCTACACTATTGCTCCCCACAGCTACACACACACACGTACACTCAGCTACACACACACACAGCTAAACACACACACACAGCTACACACACACACGTACACTCAGCTATACACACACACACACACACGTACACACAGCTACACACACACACGTACACTCAGCTATACACACACACACATACACTCAGCTACACACACACACACGTACACACAGCTACACACACACACGTACACACACACACGTACACTCAGCTACACACACACACACGTACACACAGCTACACACACACACGTACACTCAGCTACACACACACACACACACACGTACACACAGCTACACACACACACGTACACTCAGCTACACACACACACAGCTAAACACACACACACATACACAGCTACACACACACACGTACACTCAGCTATACACACACACACACACGTACACACAGCTACACACACACACACACTCAGCTACACACACACACACACACGTACACACAGCTACACACACACACGTACACACAGCTACACACACACACGTACACACAGCTACACACACACACACACGTACACACAGCTACACACACACACACGTACACTCAGCTACACACACACACACGTACACTCAGCTACACACACACACACGTACACTCAGCTACACACACACACACGTACACACAGCTACACACACACACACGTACACACAGCTACACACACACACGTACACACAGCTACACACACACACGTACACACAGCTACACACAGCTACACACAGCTACACACACACACGTACACACAGCTACACACACGTACACACAGCTACACACACACAGCTACACACACGTACACACAGCTACACACACACACGTACACACAGCTACACACACGTACACACAGCTACACACACGCACACGTACACACAGCTACACACACACGTACACACAGCTACACACAGCTACACACACACGTACACAGCTACACACACATACACAGCTACACACACACACGCCGTCCCAGCGGCCCTGCTGGGAATCCCGAGGTATTTTCAGCACAAGGAACGCCGTACCGCGTAATCCGCCAAGTCAACAAGTGGAAAAGAAGACACACGCACACAACACGCATATCGGGACGAATAAGATGAAAAGCATTTACTGCCCATTGAGTTACGTGGATACGGTCGTTCAGAAGTATTTTTGTCATTCCTTTTCGTTGATTGCATAATCTTGCCAATGAATTAATTGACGTATACTTTTGCTTTCGGGAAATGTTTCTTTATTGCCGTTCGTATGAATATCGTCGCATGCATGTTTAAGGACGTCTTCCTATCGCCGTATATGCTCGCGTTACTCTGAGGAATTAATCGAATGTTCTGTTACCCAGTAAACAACGTAATCATTGAGGGTTAAATGTACGGATCAATGAGAACATCTCAAGGGGTACTGTGTTGACAATTCCAAGCATAAGAGTTCGAATATTAAAGTTATGTTTTTGGTTAGAAATTTAAATTTCTTAACACAAAAGAGTCCGAGTGGTGCCTTCCTAAGTTCATGCGTAATGATCTCAATTATGAGAACTGTATCCTGCGGTGAGATTTGAATTTGGAGACACGAAGACACAATCAGTAAATGTTAAAACGAGACTAATTGTATTATCCCGAGTGATAATACGACCCTAGGCAACGAAGATAAGCATAATTATCATAACTGCATACATTAGCATAATTGCATATAGTTGCATAACTTAATAGGATCACCTCCCTAATTAGCATAATTTCGGATAATTACACATTTTTCCTATTTACATTTAATTTTTATTATTTTTAATTAATTTTTCAAGGCCCAACATATACAACAGGTGTGAAGCCAGCCAGGCTCACGATGTCCTTGAATGCTGGGATGAACAGATCTGACTTCAGCTGCATGTGTGTGCTGTGTTAACTTCTTGACTGTTTCCATTCTTACAAAGAGCTCCAGAGGAAAACAAAAAACAAACTACAGCTTTGATATAACCTCCCTGTTCAATAGAGTTAATAGAATTTACTGCAAACACAAACTTTACACTGTCACACACTGGCATGGCTCACAGGTGGTGGTGTATTAATGCTTCCTTACTCCACCAAGAAATTCATTGAGGATCAATCAACATCGCCGAGGCTGCGTCTCTCTCCCCGTGGTGTTAACTACCTCTCCTGGTATACAGGAAGTCGTGGGTTCGATCCCGACCCTGACCCCCGGTTGTCCCCATCTCGACATGCAGAGAGTGAACACCGCCACGCATCTAGAGTGAACACCGCCACGCGTCTAGAGTGAACACCGCCACGCGTCTAGAGTGAACACCGCCACGCGTCTAGAGTGAACACCGCCACGCGTCTAGAGTGAACACCGCCACGCGTCTAGAGTGAACACCGCCACGCGTCTAGAGTGAACACCGCCACGCGTCTAGAGTGAACACCGCCACGTGTCTAGAGTGAACACCGCCACGTGTCTAGAGTGAACACCGCCACGTGTCCAGAGTGAACACCGCCACGCGTCTAGAGTGAACACCGCCACGTGTCCAGAGTGAACACCGCCACGCGTCTAGAGTGAACACTCTAGACGCGTGGTGGTGTTCACTCTGGACACGTGGCGGTGTTCACTCTAGACACGTGGCGGTGTTCACTCTAGACACGTGGCGGTGTTCGCCACGCGTCCAGAGTGAACACCGCCACGTGTCTAGAGTGAACACCGCCACGTGTCTAGAGTGAACACCACCACGCGTCTAGAGCGAACACCACCACGTGTCTAGAGTGAACACCGCCACGCGTCTAGAGTGAACACCGCCACGCGTCTAGAGTGAACACCGCCACGCGTCTAGAGTGAACACCGCCACGCGTCTAGAGTGAACACCGCCACGCGTCTAGAGTGAACACCGCCACGCGTCTAGAGTGAACACCGCCACGTGTCTAGAGTGAACACCGCCACGCGTCTAGAGTGAACACCGCCACGCGTCTAGAGTGAACACCGCCACGCGTCTAGAGTGAACACCGCCACGCGTCTAGAGTGAACACCGCCACGCGTCTAGAGTGAACACCGCCACGCGTCTAGAGTGAACACCGCCACGCGTCTAGAGTGAACACCGCCACGCGTCTAGAGTGAACACCGCCACGTGTCCAGAGTGAACACCGCCACGTGTCCAGAGTGAACACCGCCACGCGTCTAGAGTGAACACCGCCACGCGTCTAGAGTGAACACCGCCACGCGTCTAGAGTGAACACCACCACGTGTCTAGAGCGAACACCGCCACGTGTCTAGAGTGAACACCGCCACGTGTCTAGAGTGAACACCGCCACGTGTCCAGAGTGAACACCACCACGCGTCTAGAGTGAACACCGCCACGCGTCTAGAGTGAACACCGCCACGCGTCTAGAGTGAACACCGCCACGCGTCCAGAGTGAACACCGCCACGTGTCTAGAGTGAACACCGCCACGTGTCTAGAGTGAACACCACCACGCGTCTAGAGCGAACACCACCACGTGTCTAGAGTGAACACCGCCACGTGTCTAGAGTGAACACCACCACGCGTCTAGAGCGAACACCACCACGTGTCTAGAGTGAACACCACCACGTGTCTAGAGTGAACACCGCCACGTGTCTAGAGTGAACACCACCACGCGTCTAGAGCGAACACCACCACGTGTCTAGAGTGAACACCACCACGTGTCTAGAGCGAACACCACCACGTGTCTAGAGTGAACACCGCCACGCTGTTGACGAGCCTCACCTTGTTGTTATTGTTGTTGTGGGCAGGTCGCTTCTGAAAACAAGAGCGGTACAGCAGCTCAAGCGGGCGTGGCCTGGTAAAAAATGAAAAAAAAACGGTGTTAGTATAGAATATTTAAACAAAGGTACAAAGTGGCGATCCGGGTCAAGACAAATTAAACTTAAGCGAGAGAATTGAAGCAAACGCGATCAGGCGAGGGCAGGAGGCAAGGCCCCGCGTTGTAAAGTTACAACGTGCACATCGCTTCCATGCTCGCTGCTACTCAATTGACATCCATACGAGAGAGAGAGCGAGGCTCTACCTCGGTAAACAACAACAACAACAACAACCACCACCACAACAACAACCACCACAACAACCGCGATGAGAATTTCTCACCTCGGATTTCAGTGCACGGGCCGAGCGGCAACTTTCTGGTCCCTCGTGACGTCACGCGGCAGCAGGTGACATGACGTCACTTGCGGGGTACGATGACACTCCCCTCCCCACAATGAGCGGCTCTCAACTCGCGACGACTTTCACGAATAAATTATGTTAATGAGCCGCCAGTCACCGGGCGTAGCTTTGCCCAAATAAGGATTGGCACTGGAACAGATATCGGCAGCGGCCGAGCGGAGGTGACGTCACGCTCAAGAGCGCGTGAGTTGGGTGGGGTGAATACCTTGGTGACATGACGTCACTAGCGAGGCACACCTCCCCCTGGCGTTTGACGCAGATGAGGTCACGCTGAGCGGCGACGTTAGAGGGCGGGGTCAGAGTTCAAGTTTGTTGACAGAAGGGGAGCGGCAGTGCCCTTAATAGGTGCTCGCTAACAGCACTTGCCCCTACAGTCTAAGGCTATACGGGGGGTCTTTGTCTTTGTGTGTTGGGAGCAAGTTTGAGTGGCGTGTAGCCGTGGGAGTTGAACGGGCGCCTGCTGCTACTGACAGTCGTTGACTGCGGTGGGACAGACGCTGATAGACACAGACAGACAAGACAGGCGGACAGACACAGACAAGAGGAACACAGAGACAGAGAAAGATACACAGAGACGACATCGACAGAGAGACACAGGCAGAGAGACACACAGAGGCGAACAGAGAGACAGACGGACAGAGATGTTGAATCGAACACACTGAACTCGCTCCATTGAAAGAGATTCCTCGATCTTTGCCCATCCCCGGAAGTCGTTCTAGTTTATATTTATTTCATTGTGTGTGGTGTGTAGTGTAAGCCATGTGGGATATCGATGTACACAGATATGAACAACATCAGCAGACAAGACGTCTTTCATTTATCAGTCTCTCCGCGAATCAAAGGAATGTTTTACACAAAATATAACTACTGCAGCATTCAGTGCAAGTCAACTGTGGACCGGTTTTGGTGTACAATTTATACGTAAATATATAAGCGCACGACTTCATCTATCTGTGAAGAACGCTGCACTTTCCATCGCTTTCATGCAGGGGGCGCTGCAAACCTACGCACCCCCTGCATGAACGACGGAGGCGCAGGGACAGACGTTCGATCGCGTTGGAATCGATCTGCAGACGGCGTTCTTCTCCCAACCAGGTGAAAGTCCGCATCAAACAGAATCCGCGGCAAGCCAATCTACTTAACGACGAGAGAAAATTCACACGAAATGTCGTTTTCAATGAAGTCTTCCAGATGAAAATGATATAAGCTTTTATTGAAGAAACACAATTTAAAACATAATACAATTCAAAGTTGTTTCAATTTAAAACTTCAAAACGGAGCATCGGGAGTTTGCGTGGATGCGTCGCTCGTGTGTAATTTTCTTCGTGACTTTTCTGGCCCAAGGCCGTAAATGGTTGTGAGGGGCACCGCAGGCGGTCAGGCTTGCTTCACCCCATGGTTGTCAACATCCAGACGTTAATCGGCAAGGACCATTTCTTGTCCTAGTTCGCCAACATATACGATGTCATGCAAAATTCTCATGAGTGTTGTTGTGCAGAATGTATCTACTAGATGTGCTCTGCCTTGTAACCAAATACAAATCTGTACCAAAAATGCACTCCAAATGTGTTCTTAAAATTACCTCCTTGCTATGAAGCAAATCAGCAGACACGAAATCTTTCATTTATCACCTGAGTGATCTGTACAGGTTACTCCAAAAACACAGACTTTGTCCTAACATGACTTAATCAATGTTTGACCCTTGTAGACAAAATGTTAACATGTACGCACACAATCGGACTAGTATTCATTCTAAATTATTGACAATCATTTTTACGAAGTTAAATTACTGCACCAGGTTACATAGTATTAACAAGATAAACAAAAAAACACTGTCTGCTTAAGTGTATGTACAACATACTAATGCACCATTTAAAACGAGTCGGCCATTGCTGGCATCTGGGTAAAAATTTTGCAAATTCCAAACATTACCTACAAACTCCACAACTGAGATGCCACATTAACCATCACCCCCTACTGACAGGCTCTTGTCCACACGCAGGCCAGTGCAGGGCCACCACCTTGTGCCACACAGGGGCAGCTGCCACTTGGGGATGCTCTTCGAGTGTTTGAGACGAGAAACGATACAAAACTACGAATTGCCGAGGCAATTAATCAAGCACAATATAAATGCAATTATGATAACAGAGTGAATGCTTGGGAGCTTATTGGCTCTCGCTCCTGGTTAGAGATCTACCCAACACACAGGTCCACAAAAACTGGCCGCTCTTACCCTGCAGGTTGAACCTAGGAACTGAGTGTTCAACTTCACATTCTTGTCATTAAAGGCCTGTGACAAAGGTGCATCTATTGGAGCAGCATCGTCTAAGGCAGTGGTTCTTAACCTTGTTGGAGGTACTGAACCCCACCAGTTTCATATGCGCATTCACAGAACCCTTCTTAATTGGAATTTATTTTTTATTTTTTCAAATTCAAAACATAGGTACATGTTTTACTGGTGCACAATCATGAGTCAGGTGTGTGTCTTAACCTCCGCCGAACCCCTGAGACTGACTCACCGAACCCCTGGGGTTCGATCGAACCCAGGTTAAGAACCACTGGTCTAAGGCTTACGCATCTCCCGGGTCTCCATTTGACTTTGTATTGTCTCGGAGGAAGTCCACCCACACCTCCACTTCCACAAACTGCTGGGAGTTGCCTCGCTCTGCCTCACAGTCAGAATTCTCCTCCTGCTTCACGTTGCCTCCATCGATGTGAAGGTCCGATTTGGGAGTTGAATCTTCATCTTCACATTTTACCTTCACTTCTTGGCTCTTCACCATCATGTCTTCGCATTTCACCTTGACCTCTTCATATTTCACCTTGACACCTTTAAAAGTGTCCAGGCTGGGATTTTCTTCCGGTTCTTGTTTCATGAGGGATGGGCTCATTGCGGCACTTTGACTTTCACAAGCTGATTTCAGACTCCACTCCTGGTGGATCTTCTGATGCTTGCGTGTTCTCTGGTGTACATAAAGATGTGATGACTGCGCAAACGCCTTCCTGCACGGAGTGCACCTGAAGGGTTTCTCTCCCGTGTGTGTTCTCTGGTGTATTTTAAGATCAGGTGAATGTGAAAACGCCTTCCCACACACACTGCACTTGAAGGGTTTCTCTCCCGTGTGGGTTCTCTGGTGTGCTACAAGAGCAGATGACTGTGCAAACGCCTTCCCACACACACTGCACTTGAAGGGTTTCTCTCCCGTGTGTGTTCTCTGGTGTTTTACAAGAGCAGATGACTGTGCAAACGCCTTCCCACACACACTGCACTTGAAGGGTTTCTCTCCCGTGTGTGTTCTCTGGTGTGCTACAAGATTATATGACTGTGCAAACGCCTTCCCACACACACTGCACTTGAAGGGTTTCTCTCCTGTGTGAGTTCTCTGGTGCCGTGTCAACTGTGCAGGACAATCCGTGCTGTATGCACACCGGTCGCATTGATGCCTTTTTGCACCGAGCTGCGCCGAGTGCCTTTGCTCCATGAGACCAATTCTGCAGAGGCAGCGACAGCTGCAGACAGAAAAAGAAGAATATCCACACCATCTACACGTCAGTATCGAGGCACAGAGGAATACATATACACAGTCACACGTGACTTACACGTCTATAGTTGTTCATATATTTATGATATAGTAAAAAAAAAGTGTCCCAAATTCATCACACGGGCTGTTATGGCACACAATGAGAGGCCAAATGGTCATAAACATGCCTGGAAGCCCTCGTATCTTCAAAATGAACGTTAACCCAAAACTCAGCACACAATTTCAGCTGTCTGGCTTCTAAATAAATGTTTATGAAAGCTAAATTCAGCTAACATAGCAAAGGGTGTTGAAAATAATACTATTTGTGTCATGCACAAATGCATAAATTAATGTTCAATCGCAATTTAGAGGTGTGAAGCCAGGCTCAGATGTCCTTGATTGCTGGGATGAGCAGTTCCGACTTCAGCTGCTGCACGTGTGTGCTGTGATCACTTCCTGACTCCATTCTTACAAAGAGTTTCAGAGGAAAACTAAAATAAACTACTGTTTTGATATAACCTATGTGCTCAATAGAGTTAATAGATTCTAGATTCGAAGCTTTCGTGACTGCAAGGATTCATATTCTTAGGTTTTTTCGGTAAAGTCACATAGGTAAAAACATTAAAAAGTAAAATAAAATAAAAAATCACGACGTTTCGGAGGCAACACAAGCTTCCGTCTTCAGGTGGTACCATCACAGCCACGACAGCTGTATCAAGTAAATGAGAGATTGCAGTAGCTACCACTCCGTTTATATAATGGTTGGAGAAGGTGGTGGGGCAAGGGCCGCATACTTTTTATTAATATGGTAAGGTGAGGCTTAAGACTAAGAGTGGAGAGGTGCGGTTTGTGACTACCTGTGACAGGGAGACCGCCACTAAACATAGAAAAACTGTAATAGTTGTCTGTCAAATAAGATTGGCAAATAAGTGTAGTTAAATCTTTTTTGCATGGTTAATCACATCTTTCCAATGATTACTCAGTTTGTAACCGTCATCACGGTTGAAATTATGTCTGTGTTTGTATATTTGTATGGCTTCGTGTACAAACCTTTGATGGTAGCCAAGAGGTTTGCAGAGAACCTTGGTCTCGGAAAATACAATTTCATGAGAGCCCACCGAGTTGTAGCAATGATCGGCAACGGCTGAAAAATCAGTTCTGCCGTGTTTCAGATCTGACTTGTGAAACACGGCAGTGTTGTGTATGTACCCCCTTTTTATTTTTTTTTATATTATTTTTTTTTATAAATTATTCTGCCAACATATATAATATCGTTTTTTTTAATAGACACTGGGCAACGTGGAACGAACACGCCCCCACACTTCCACAGATGTGCGCATACCTCATTTCAAAGGAAAGAGGGCATGAAAGAGGGCAATCAAGGTCATAAAAACTCCCCGAATTTCACACAAGAGGAACAAGGGAGGGGGGAATGGCAGGCGGGGGGTTAGAATGACACCCTTTCGTAAAAAGCCTTACAAAACCAGGCACCACGGAGGAAGAGATAATTATATTCTTAACAAAGAAACAGCATTGACGACAAAAAGCACATACGGGTCTTTGAACCATGTTAGATACACAAAGTTACCAACTTAGCCATGAAGATTAAGCAAACAGTATCCATCCTCACTCCAATTGGAAATCAGACTACAGTCTGCACCAGAATCGCGACTCATCATTGTTAATTAAATACTGACATTATTTACCTTTAAAGAATTTCTACACGGCCGGGCCGAAGCATCGAAGAATAATTATGGCATCTATTTCGCTCCAAAACAAAGATCCCTAGCCGGGATATCAGATTAAATAATCACAAGAAGTCAAATAATAAGTACGGAATTAAAGTAGAAGAGGAATCAAGGGCGGAGAAGGCTCTCAAAATTAACCAAACACAACACCCCATGGGAAGCGAGCAACACGGCCGTCTTTGTCTTTCCGAGAGGATCTCCACACGCAGGCACAAAGCCAGGAAATGACACCCATAAAGGTTGGGGCAATGGCTCAAAGGAAATTAACACATCTTCGAAGATAAATAAATAAAAGCATGCGCCGGGTGCTTCCACCGTGGAAACAACCGTCTTTGTCTCCCCACAACACGGACAGCAAAAATTGCACACGCGAGGAAATAACATTTCCATGAGAGATCGGGTCACGATGAAACATCGTGAACACGGTTTCGGCATAACTTGGGCATAATGGAACCAAGCAGCAAATAAGTCGCATTTCAACTTCCAAACCAAAACAACTTAAGCTGTGCGAGACAAAAGATATGATCCCCGAGCAAGGGAGGGAATAATTAAGCTCGCTTAATGCGTAGGTTTTCGCGACAAATATTATTCAGTAACAAAACATGGATTCGAATGTTTTTTTATATATAACTCGACGCGAATCATCGGTCTGGCTAATGGATAACTTCGGTGGCGCCGTCACGAGGCCCCCACCCCCCCCCCCCCCTTTTCTTCCAGAACGACACACAGCTGTGTCTTCAAAGCTAATAAGCACACGGACGGACACGCACACGACACACACACAGACGCAGATGGTTCACACCCACAGGAATGTTTTATGACAGACTTTGAACAACTCGGGAAACTGAGTGGAATTTCCAGATATAAACCGAAGGAAAATCCATACAAAGGAGATCGCCAGGGCTCTGAGCCCCATCTCGTCGCCAGGGCTTCGGCTCCACCACAGATCTTCACGAGCTCCGGCCTACATCTCATCTCGTCTCCGGGCTAAGGCCCCACCAGAGATCTCCAGGGCGACAGCCATCTCTCCTCGTCGCCGCCAACGAAGAAGCTCTCGTCATCCAGAAGGACGAGGCTCGTGGGGTGGCGACGTGCGTCGCCTTGACGTGCACCGTCTTGACGTGCATCGCCGAGGTGCTCGCCTGCCGCACACGAGTGAACGAGCCAGCTCCCTTGCCGCCACCACACACGTGCTCGCCTGACCACGCAAACGAGCGCAGCCACGCCGTCAATCTTCGTACGGGCTCAGCCGAGGCAGGAGTCTGAAGCAGCCGATCACCGCAGCCGCGACAAAGAGGGCCCTTCTCCGAAAGTCGTTCGTACCCACAACTTCCCTCACGTAGGCTCACACGCGCTCGCGTCGACGCCCACCTCCCTTTGAGACTATCTATTTCGTCCTTACCATCATATCAACCCTACACAATTATCGGAAGACTGATTATCAACTACATGAACCATCAGCTGGCCATGAGGAATCGTGGCCCATCGAGTGATTAAGAGTCCGTCGGTTATAAGAGTGAGGTTGTTTCCGTGCCTTTCCCTTATTCCGCTCATCACATAGGCGATCAATAGACTCGTCGAGGCAAACTCAACCTCCCGAAATCCTCATTACGAATCGACCGTACACAGAGAGAGAAAATCTTGTCAAACCAGTTTCCTTTGTCAGAGTCTCGCCGAAGCATTAATTAAAACAGAGCCAGATTCGCTCTCCCACACCCACGCCCTCACCCACCATTATATCAAACATTCCGTTAAAAGTATTTTATACTTGCCGATGAATCTATTGACATATACTTTCGCCTCTGGGATACAATAAGTTCTTTTGATTACCGCAAAATGAAGTGTGTCATGCTTGTTTTCAAACTCGGCCAGTCGCCGATTGTGATCGATACAAAAACGAACTAATGAGATGCCTGGTGGGAAGGTAGAGGTTACGATTGTTAGGAGGGTTTTTAGTCATTCAGTTCGTTAAATGCACAATATTGCAAATGCATAAGAGTTTTGAGTTATTCAATTTAGTAAATGCATAGTCTCGCAAATGCATACGTGTTCATTCATTCATTTTAGTCAAATGCTTAATCTCGTAATTGCATAAGAATTTTAGTTATCCATATTAGTCGAATGCATAATATCGCAAATGCATAAGAGTTTGGTTATTCAATTTAGTTAAATGCATAGTCTCGCAAATGCATAAGTGTTTATTCATTCATTTTCGTCAAATGCATAATCTCGTAATTGCATAAGAATTTTAGTTAGTCATATTAGTCGAATGCATAATATCGCAAATGCATAAGAGTTTGGTTATTCAATTTAGTTAAATGCATAGTCTCGCAAATGCATAAGTGTTTATTCATTCATTTTAGTCAAATGCATAGTCTCGTAATTGCATAAGAGTTTTAGTTATTCATATTAGTCTAATGCATAATATCGCAAATGCATAAGAGTTTGGTTATTCCATTTAGTTAAATACATAGTCTCGCAAATGTTAGAAGTGTTTTAGTCATCCATTTTTCGTTAAGTGCATAATCTTACCCATGAATTATCGACGCATGTTTGACCTGCATGATAGAATGTCACATGCTTGTTAGAATAAAATTGTTACCACAGAAGCATATCGAGTGTTCCTTCCAAGTCCATGCAAAACCATCTTATTCTTGATAACTGTATCCTGTGATGAGATATGAAAATGGAGACCTAAAATATCATAACACACACTAGGATAATCGGTAAACGTTTAATCGATGATAATCGTGTTATCCTGATTGAGATAACACTGGATAAACGAAGCTGAGCCTAATTATCATAACTGCACACATTAACATAATCGCAAACATCCGCATAAATTACTATGATTATCTCCGTGATTATCATAATTTATGCATATAATTACTCACATTATCATAATTTATGCATATTAATACACACATTAACGTATTTAATGCGATTTGTGCATTTTTCGGAAAATTATTAATTTTTATTATTTTTATCAAAATTTCATAATCCAACACATACAACAGCAGAACTTATTCTTCAGCCTTTGCCGATCATTGCTACAACTCGGTGGGCTCTCATGAAATTGTATTTTCCGAGACCAAGTTCAAGTTCAAGTTCATTTATTAGGTATAGCCCTGTGAGCCATTCAGCTCTTGAATCGGGTGCAACCGCAACAAACAAAAAACAAAAACATGAACAAAAAAAACATCTTAAAGTGAATATGTGACTAAGTGCAAAGAGAAAATCCAAGAAAAGACAGCAAAAATATTGCAGAAAAAACACCGTACACCAACGCTGTGTGCAAAAATCCCAGTGGGATGCAAGTCAAACAACAACAACAACCACAAGACAACTTAGATTAAGGCCATCAGTCTAACTCTGTACTACAACAACACAAACATGGCTAAACCAATACACTTTTCGAAATCACCAAAATAAAGCCATGAAGGCAATGAAAAAGCAATCATAGGAACTGACGGAATTTTAACAATAAATGGCATAAACAACATGTACTACCAAAACCCTGCAGCCATAGCTGGCTGCATGAGTCACTCCACAACAGCAGGAGCATCAATCGGAGTATTGTAATTTTTCAATGCACCTTTAAGATCAGCACACTAAATCAAAACACAGGTCATACTTTGTAGCGATCATCCGGAGCGAAACATTTTATTTTAGGTCACTGAATAGCACTGGCAGCTAGGGGTGTACAACTCCTCTAAAGCAGTTTTGAGTGAAGATCTCATAGGTAGTGACTCAAGTTTCAATTTATTTGCAACAGCATTCCAGACCCTGGGGGCATCAATAGCAAAGGCCCTTCCTCCAGTATATGTACGGCAATAGGGAATATTAAGCTGGTAAATGAGTGTAGACCTTAGGTCAAATTTGTTCTTTGAAACAGAGACGAGATCCAGCAGATAATCTGCAGATTTTTTTGCAAGTACATCATGAATAAATAAGATCTGGTGCACAAGCCGTCGAACATTCAGAGATGTTAAGTTTGACCCAATGTAGAGATCACAGTGGTGAGTCCTATATGGGAAGTTCAATGCAAATCTTAAGGCCGAGTGATACATTGAGTCAAGCTTCTTCAGTACAGTACTTGGGGCTGATTTATACACAATGTCACAGTAATCAAGTAGAGGCAGTACGGTAGCTTTAATCAATTCCAAACGGAACATAGGAGGGAAGCAGTGCTTGTGTCGATATAGAAAACCAATTTTAATTTTTGTCTTTTTCCCAATATAATCAATGTGATCTTCAAAATTCAGTTTTGAATCCAGGATGACCCCAAGATACTTATAGATCTTGACTTGCTCTATTTGATCATTATTTAAGGTATGTAATTGGGGAAAAATAACTTCCCGCTTTAGTCCTGGTGAGAAGCATAGCACCTTGGTTTTGGCAGGATTTAGGACTAGTTTAAGAGCAACTAGCTGATGTTGTAGTTTGTTGAAATCACTCTGGAGCTTAGCAATCACGTCATCCGGAGAGCGGCCAGCAGTAATTAGTACCGTGTCATCTGCAAAAAGATTTACCCTGGAATAATCCAGTTCAGTGCCCAAGTCATTTACATAAAGAGAAAACAAGAGGGGGCCGAGAATGGAACCCTGTGGAACCCCTTTTGTTATCTTAACACTGTTTGACCTCCAACCATCTGTGAATACAGTTTGGGTGCGAGAAAAGAGGTAATTTTTTAACCATTTTACTGTGTTTTCGGAAAAACCGAGGCAACTTATTTTACTAAGCAGGATGTTGTGGTCTACTGTATCAAAAGCTTTGGACAAGTCAAGAAAAAGACAGGCGCAGTACTGCTTATTATCAAGGCTACTGTAAATGTGATTCAGAGAGTCTAATGCAGCAGATGTGGTGCTGTATTTTTTTCGGAACCCAGATTGTTTTAGATGTAATAGATTGTTGGCGGACAGGAAACTGCTAATTTGGTAGGTCAATAATTTTTCAAAAATTTTCATCAACGGGGACAAAATTGAGATAGGTCGGTAGTTATTTGGATCATCTTTAGGGCCCCCTTTGTGAAGTGGACGAACATAGGAATGTTTCTATTCTAGAGGAACTGATGCTTCTTTGATGGACAGGTTGAAAATATGGGCTATAGGTTTGTATATTAGGTGACCAACAGTTAGTAGAGCAAAGACGGGAATACTATCTGCTCCGGTAGAGGAGGACCCTTTGAGGTAGGACAGTTGTTTCAGAACATTATTTTCGTGGATTGGCTGAAAACTAAATTCGCTTAATGTTTGGACAGGAGTGTAGGAATTTGCATGAGCAGGGGTGACTCCCAATACATTATCAAATAGGGTACCAGCTTCAGAAAAATGAAGGTTAAAATTGTCAACTATTTTTTGGGGATCTGAAAAATATTCCCCATTTCGGTTAAGCTGAACGGGCAGATGATCTGTTTTGGATGCCTTTTCTATACATTTGATTGTTTTCCAGAAAATCCTGGCATTTCCATGAGATTCAAGGAGAGTGGAAGAGAAGTAGTTATTTTTTGCATGCCGTATTTTTTTGACGCATCTATTCCTTAAAATCCTGTATTCTAGCCAGTCATTGACCAAATTACTTTTCTGAGCACATGCCCAAGCCTTGTCCCTAGTTTTCATGAGCTTTGTAATCACAGGATCAAACCATGGTGGACGGTTGCCTTTAGTTTTAAATTTAACCAACGGAGCATGTTTGTTAAGAATTTGGAGAAACGTGTACCTGAAGGTCTCCCAAGCCATAGTCAGGTTTGGAATATCACAGACCTTGTCAATATCCTAGTGAAGCACATTTCTTTGCAAACCTCCTGGCTACCATCAAAGGTTTGTACACGAAGCCATACAAATATACAAACACAGACATAATTTCAACCGTGATGACGGTTACAAACTGAGTAATCATTGGAAAGATGTGATTAACCATGCAAAAAAGATTTAACTACACTTATTTGCCAATCTTATTTGACAGACAACTATTACAGTTTTACCATGTTTAGTGGCGGTCTCCCTGTCACAGGTAGTCACAAACCGCACCTCTCCACTCCTAGTCTTAAGCCTCACCTTACCATATTAATAAAAAGTATGCGGCCCTTGCCCCACCACCTTCTCCAACCATTATATAAACGGAGTGGTAGCTACTGCAATCTCTCATTTACTTGATACAGCTGTCGTGGCTGTGACGGTACCACCTGAAGACGGAAGCTTGTGTTGCCTCCGAAACGTCGTGATTTTTTATTTTTATTTTATTTTACTTTTTAATGTTTTTACCTACATGACTTTACCGAAAAAACCTAAGAATGAGAGTTAATAGACTTTACTGCAAATACAAACTTGACAATATCACACACTCAGAGGTAGAGCCAGGATTTTCAGGCAGGGGGGGAAACCCCTCCAGCAATGAAAAATTACAGGAGTTGTTAGTAAGTAAGGAGTTGTTAGTGAGAAAGGAGTTGTTAGTAAGAAAGGACTTGTCCCTTGCTTTTCATTCGACGCGTGTGATCGTCATCGCGCTCGCTGAACGTGTTGATGCCTTCAGGAAAGAAAAATAGACTTTTGTATTTTGGGGGGAGGGGGGGGGAAATGACCATGACGTATGTGGCATCAACCCGCATCACACCTGAGCTAAGCGCTCTGCAATGCTTACCCCCCTACCACATGGCTCTTTGCGCGCCGTACTTCTACAGCTGTTCACAGCGTGCCGGGAGATTTTAGGTGGCGCTTCGCTCCTGGCCGATTAAGTCATTGGCTTCTCGGAGTTTCAATACAAATCCGTGTGAAGAACGGGTACAACTGCCATCTTAAATATAAAGCAGAACTTACACCTGTTTGTTTGTGTGAAGCAGCAAAAAGTCTCCAACGCTGAGCTCTGGCATCATGAAATTTTCACAGCTTATGCTGTCTGGAATGTCTAAGCGAACGCCGCGTCATTCCCTTCCCGAGTGGCAAAAATCGACCTGACGTAGCAGTGGGTTCAGGTTGAATTTCCTTGAGTGAAAAACATCCGATTTAGTTAAATTGATTTCTTTCAGCTTTTCTTTCTTACAAGAATCACTTTTTCAGGGTTTTTCAGTGAAATATGAGGGAATATTAAATTAATCCGAGACAAGTATCCAAGTCCCGGGCGAAGCCGGGTAGTGAAGCTAGTTACTAATAAACCACAATGATCCTATCGAAATTACGGATTTCTATTGGATCGTTGGGGGGGCACGTGCCACCCCACCCCCACTGGCTCCACCACTGTCACACACTGGCACGGTTCACAGGTGGTGGTGTGTCCAGACCCACGCCTGGCCACCTTCACCTGCTCAGTATTAATACTTCATCACTCCACCAAGTAATTCATCGAGGATCAACCAACACAGCCGAGGCTGCGTGTCTCTCTGTGGTGAGATGTTAACTACCTGTCCTGGCATACAGGAAGTCGTGGGTTCGATCCTGACCCTGACGCCTGCTGTATATTTGTAGTTTACGTGTCTCTCTCTCTCTCCCCGTGGTCGCGTGGATTTCCTTCCCGATCCCCGGGTTTCCCCTCCACATGTAGAGAGTGAACACCGCCACA